TTTGTAGAAATTAGAAGAATTAATCTTTCTCACTTTTCCCATTTTCCAATATAAACTCTGTCCACCCAGGAAATACAGAAAAGGTCTGAGGTCTGCCTCTATAGGGAGCTTGCCATAGTTTCAGCACTTAAACATGGAATATTTAGTATTACAGAAAAAACCATAAAACATGAGCTCTGTCTTTCTGTTTGTATCTGTGTAACAACTCATAAGGCACCTCTGGGTGTAGTAGCCTCTCTTTATGAATGGACATCTTGAAAGCAGGATTTTCTTTGAGTAGATTCATTCTGTAAAGGAGATAATAAAAGGTTCCAGTGTATTTTTCCTTGCTTTGGGGAGGACAGCAGGGGTTGACTTTTCTCTTTCTGTCTGCCCTTGGTTGAAGGTGATAATTGTGCCTGGACTTCTGTGTGCAGGCAGTGCCAAGATGCAGGATTATCTCCAGCTACAGGAGAAACAGGTGAGAATTGGTTTTCTAAAGCAGAGGATGGGTTTCCTTTTTTTTCTTTTAAAAATAATGAAAAGCTTCTGAGAGAGAAATGAGCTTTGAAAAATCTCGGGCAGAAAAGCCAGGTAACAGCATAAATGTATGGTGTACAATGCTGATGGAACCTGCCTTGAATGAAAGTAAATGTTTTGAATTAGGTCCTCTGGTTTAGATCAGCATTTTTGCTTTCTCTGTTTCTCACTAATCTCTCTTGCATATAGTTTCCAAGGCCTAGAAATAGGCAGAACTTTAGCCTTAAAGCCGGGGTGAGGGGCTGGGCCTAAAAGAGTATGAGTTGCATGTAACACAGAGTAGCTGGTGGGTTTCCTTAGCATTAATGTCAGCTGAAGTCCTTGAAGGTGGACACAAAAATGTCTGGTTTGTGAAGTTCTTTAATTTCCCACCCACTCATTCTCAAGGCACTCCTCCTTGGCCATGGGAAGGTCTTACTCCTGATTACTCCTAGTTACTCCTGGTTAAAATTACCCATTTTGTAATGTTTCCTCGACTGCATGTTTTTGCTACTCTTCAAACAAAACAGACATTTTATGACAAAGTAGAAGCTCTGTGACAATATTTGTTTTGCCTTTTTTTTTCTTTTCTCTTTTTCTTTTTTTAAACTATTACTTTAAAGATATTCTTCCCCCCCTTTTTTAGTTCCTGTCTCTGGTTCTCATATGGCTGCCTCTGCTTGCCAGCATTCTTTGAGCAGTTTTCTACCAACTGGAAAACAGAGGGATACAAGGAAAATTGATCTGCACCTAAAGCCAAAGGCTTTTCACACCGTCTCGAAAGAGCGGCCACGCTCCTTAGTGGACCTTAAGGCCTATAAAGACACAAAAATTTTAGTGGCAAAATTTTTGGAACATTCAAACTGTAATCTCCCTCCAGAAGTGCGTCACGTAGTGAACAGCATACGGTCAGTCATTAAATCTGATGAGAGACACATGGAAGAAGCCATCTTCAGTGCCAATATCATAGACCAGGTAGGCCACTGATGTGTCCAGTTTCCATAGTCAAATGGCTTATATAAATGTTTTTGCAGTTTAAGTTCTTCAGACAATTCCTACAGAAGCTCTTTTATAGTTACATGGCATTAGTAAGAAATAATTTCTATTTATTGGGCAGCAATACATTTTGCACTGCAGTTCAGACAGAGAGCCTGGCTGTGCTTTCCAGGTGCCCAGTCCTGAGCCCTGACCAGCTGCAAGGACAGAAGCAGGAGGGGTTCTGATGGGCTGAACCTCCTTTGGAAGAGTTTCAGTGTTAGCTTAAATGAAATATTATTCAGTCTTTCCTTACCCCGTTTTCCCCATTCTTTCCTCCTCCCCTCCTGCCTTTCCCGCAGGTGATGACGAGCTCCCAGCAGGGCGCGGGCGGCTGCACGAAGCGGCTGCAGGGGGATCTGCACCTGCGGAGCTGCGGCGCCCTGAGCTCTGCCGCGGCCCCGGCGCGCAGCCGGACCCCGCTCAGCCGCGCCCTGGAGCGGGAGCGGCCGCACAGCCTGATCGGGGTGTGCCGGGAAACCATCCTGTGATCGGGGTGTGCTGGGCAACCATCCTCTGATCCCAGTGCCCTGGGAAACCATCCCGTGACCGGGGTGTGCCAGGCAACCATCCTGTGACCGGGGTGTGCTGGGGAACCATCCTGTGACCGGGGTGTGCTGGGCAACCATCCCGTGACCGGGGTGTGCCGGGCAACCATCCTGTGATCGGGGTGTGCCGGGCAATCATCCTGTGACCGGGGTGTGCCGGGGAAACCCTCCTGTGATCGGGGTGTGCCGGGAAACCATCCTGTGATCGAGGTGTGCCGGGAAACCATCCTGTGACCGGGGTGCCCGGGGAAACCATCCTGTGATCCCACTGCCCCGGGAAAAAATCCTGTGATCCGAGTGCCCTGGGAAACCATCCTGTGACCGGGGTGCCCGGGAAACCGTCCTCTCCTCTGAGAGGGTCCGCAGGTATGTCATGGCAGCTGGGAGCTGTGGAAGAAACCAGGACTGGGACAAACACAACTAGTGGATGACTAGGAAAAAGTGTCTTCCTTTGGAATTCCACTTTTTTCCCCACAGCAGGATGAGAACGGCTGTTTTTCTGAATGTAAATTTCAGCCTTGATTTTTGCAAACTTTTAATCGATTTATTAGTGAAGATATAACAAGTGTTTTCCCAACCAGAAATGCATTTATTTCACTGTACTTACAGAAATGCTACTGATGCTGCCCAGCATTTCTTGAAAACCATTGCAAACCCACCAGAGACTGGCTGTACAACTTAAAAGTTGTATTTATTTAATGTACCTCAAAGTGTTTTAACTATCGTCAGTGTTTTAATAAAAAAGTATTTCTGGACTTTGCCTTTTCAACACTGATTTGGATACAAACATAAAGGTGATTTATACACATACACAGTGCTGCTTCTAATCCATTCTTGCAGTGTCTTTCATTCCAGACTAACTGATTTGTCCAGGTAAAACTGCTCCCCCCTCCCAGGCTGCCCTTTTAAGCTGCAGCACTTGCTGCAGTGTGGTTTATTCCTGCTCTGTTCTGAATGTTCACCACTTCAGTCCTGCAGTAGTGTGTGACCAAGAATTGATGGTAAATCCTCTGCAGTGTGTGACCAAAAGATGCATTAGGGAAGAAGACTGAAATTCTACATTTTTCACAAACTTTTTACCAACAGCAACTGATTGGAAGTTAGAAGAATTTTTATCTAGCAGAGCCTTGAGTATTTTCAAAAAGAATTGTTACTCCAATTCATAGTTTTGACAATTTTATTACTAAAACATATTATGGTTCTGCTGTGTTTATGATTTATTTAACATTGATCTTTTAAAAAATATCAAAAAGTAAATATTGACACTGATTTCATTACCAGCATAAACACAGGTCTGCCAGCAACATCTTCCAGTGCAAGCTTCATCCTGGCTCTTTCAGAGGAAATTGGAAAGGCCTTAAAGAGAAGGTTCTCATAAAGAACCTACCACAGGTTGATGTTTCGGGATTTTAATTGTTTTGCAGCAGTGCTTGTCAGTAGCCTTAGTTTCCATTTGAGGTTTAATCATATACTGGTTTCATTTGTGTCACTCTGAGCTGGGCAGACATCCTGTGAAAAGGTCACAAAGGAATGTAGCTGAAGATGGGTAGTTTAAGTTTTACAGATTCATCCATTTTAATGTATTTTAATTATAGCATGCTTCTGTATTGATGTGAAGTTACAGTGACATCCAGTGGCAACAAGGTATGCTAATTGAAAGCTTCTACTCTCAAGATCATAATGATACACAAATTCCTAATTCAAGAGAATATTTCCTTTAAAAAAAAATCTGTGACCTTTGCAACTGCACTTAGATGAAGAATTAAATGATGTTCTACTTGCAATTTTTTACTATGTAAAGTTACACAACAAACAAAATAAGCAAGCTTCCTTTCTTATTTCAGATTTATTAGTGATAGGTTAATTCTTTCCTAAGGTCAGTTGCATGCAACACACTACTCCTTGAAGTACAGTCATCTAAAGCTCTTTAGTTACTGCATGGTAAGGCTTCTTAAGTCACAGTGTATTTTCTTCAAGGCCTTGGCCAAAAGAAAAAAAATAGACAAAGTTACACCAATTAACATTTATCTCATAAGGAATACAACTTTACTACTAGGTTTTTTATCTACACACATTCTAATACTGCTGATGGTGCTAGGTTATTTGTCAAAACAATTTACATTCAGAACACATTGCCTTAGGAATAAGAATGCTTTATAAAAGACAGAAACAGGTAAGCATGGCTTTCCCATTTTGAGCTATTATGAACAAAAAGATAATATGCAAAAATTAAAGAAAAAAAAACCCAGCCCAACACATACATTACACAACCTGTGCAATAAGTTATCCATGAAACAACTCTGTTAAATCATAAAAATCACAAGCATTAAAAATAAATATGTATCTAAATAAATATTTTGATTTTAATCTTGTGGCAATTATTCTTTATTTAGCATATGAAACACTTGTTACATGTTTATGTTCACACCTTGCCAAACAGGTTACACTTGTCATAACAATACCAAGTACTACAGTGGTTTTCTTTACAGTAGAGTCTAAAAGTTTGAACTGCACACATTCCTTTCCACTGAAATACCATCAATTCAGCACCAGTTTTAAAATTATGCAATGTCATCAGTATTGGACCACTTTATGGGACTGGGATTTTTTTTTAACTTGAGGCAGCCAGAACTTTCTCTAATTGCTTCTCTCTGCCATCTCCTGCAGTCTCATTCATCAAATATTCACATTCACTGTGTTATCAAACAAGACAGACATACATCACTCCACATAAAGGTTACAAATAAATATGTTTTAAGTTCTATGAGAAAAGAGTTTAGAAGATGTTCAAAATACTTAAATGTTTACAAAGATTTTTGTCAGTGATTATTGTCCTTGACCATCCTTCTCAACACTTTTTGTCAAAGAAATAGAAAGGAAGGAGAGAAAAGGCAGAGACACCTGTCTGTTCCTTGTTCTGGAGTCCTCGGGTCAGCTTCCAAGCCTTTCATTCATACAAAATACAAAATTCTCTTCAGTTATGACAGCTTCAGCTTGGATGGAAGATGTTAGATGTACAGGGGGGTCTCTTGACCTGTTAGGAGCCTGAACATGGCAGCTGGCATAGTCTTCATGTGAATCTGTCAATTGATTACACAGACATTAATAGAGCTAGTACTAGTTTAAAATAATCCAGAAGGCCCCATCTGTTTCTCCCTGTGGTCAAAGTGCATTTTTTGTCCTGGCGTCTATAGATCTTTTTCCTAGAGTTTCTAGTTCAAAGTTCTCTGGTTTTAGGATGCTGGTTTGCTATCTTTGCTTTTTTTTTCATGTGGTTTGGGTTTTTTTGTTTGGTTTTGTTTTGTTTTTGAATTTATTAATGACAATTACATGATGTGACATCATATAGTTTTAAAAGCCACCTAAACACTTTTTGTTGATATACCCTGCTCCAATTACAGTAAAGTTTACAGACCTTAAATAATAAGTAGCACAAACCTCTCTGAAAATTCATTCTGCTGTTCTGATATTAATGGAACTTAATGGATAGATTTGTATTCTATCTTCCTCTCTGTGGGAATGTCATTTCATATTTTCACCTAATTACAATATGATCTTCTGAACACAGAACTTGGGACTTTGGCACCTGGTGTTCAAATGCCAATCAAGAGTTTGGTGGAACAGTTTCTCCTATGGCTAATGTCAAACCATGACACTAATGCACTTCAATTCCTTCTCAAAGAGTCCTGCGGCTCCAGTCCCCAGTGCCAGATGATTTCACAGACTGACAGAGTCCAAGGCTCAGGTAATCAGGTCTCCACCAGAACTGGACTTATTGGACAGCACAAGAAGAAGAAAGGGAAACTTTACTGACTGATAACACAGACCCTGACCAGCTGCCTTGGTATCTTCTCTTCAGGCTGTAATGAAGAAAAGTTTCATGCTGTTTCCTATGTTAGGTGAGAAGTTACACAGTGAAGGGGGACCATGGAGGGGCTGTTGGAATCTACAGCTTTGCCCCTGACAAAGAGCACATACTCTATTATGATTTGTCAGGTATCATTTTCCAAGAGGACACCAGCTGTCTCTGATTTTTGTCAGAGGAACCAGTGGGAGATCTGGCCAGGGTTCTGTACTTAGACTACCATTAAATTCAGGAGGGATTTTGAAAAACTGGACAATCTTGCTTATTCATTGCTGATCTATCTAGAAGTACTGGAGAGAGGTGACCTAACTTACTTCCAAGGTAAGTTGGAGATTAAATTATTAAAATGTATATCAGTTTGCATCTTTCAGACATAGTAATTCATTTCTATGGCAGATGCTGTAGTGATAAGAGACATCTTCACAGCCAACATCCCTGAGTGATTTCTTCCTTTAATCACTTGATTTAATTCAGACAGTAGGTTGAAGGTATAGAATTATGCCAAGAATTCTTAAAAATGAATGGAAAAATGCGGTGAATATGCACCATTAGTTGCTAAAAAAACCCCAACTGTTAATTGTTTCTTATTAGTGCCAAACTTAATTTACTGAATTGGTGTTTTTAATGCTGTGTTGACACTCTTTCCCACTGAAACATAGATTTTTTTCAACTCTTTTACTTCCTTGCTAAAGGCTTTGTTCCCTTACCTCTCCCACTGAGTTGGACAGTGCTTGCACTATCTTCTCATGAGCCGTGGCCACCACGCTCTGCCCGTTGATCTCGATGATCCGGTGTCCCACTCTCACCCCGCCCCTCTCTGCTATCCCACCTCGCATCAAGCTGCAAATCTGCCAGGAGAAAGCAATGGTTACTGAGGTTTAGAAATACCATAATGCAGCCCTCAATGGGACTTAATGAGTGGTGATGCTGTCAGGATTCCAGAAGATGCTTGTTGGAAGTATTAATCAATGAGTTTTTAAATGTTACTTTAGGGTTTGTTGGAGGGAGGTTTTTTTCTGAGATTTCTGCCTGTTATAATTTTCATTTTTAGTCTCCAATTGGGAACATAAAGATACCTTCCACAGTGATACAGGTTGTAGCCACACAAAAGTGGAGACAAGGAGAGAGATTTATGCCCTGCTGGGACACAACCTCCTGTGCCCCTGCAGGAGAGGAGGGAGCTCTGCCCTCCAGGGTCTCAGCTTCCCTCTGCACTGCTCAGTGCTGCTGGCCACAGTAAGCTCAGGATGGAGGAGGCAAGTTCAGCCATTCTTCTTTAACTGGCAGCTGAGGTTCCAGTAAAGAACTTGGCACAATTCTGAATGTTATGACCCATACAACAGGGTAATGATTCTACACGAAAAATAATTCTACATTCAGCAGACACACAGTCCCAGCAGACATTGCTACCTAAAGTATTTTGCGGTTGCAACATGCATAGAGTGCAGGCAGAAAGAGAAATCTCAATCTGGTGTGGAGTTGAGAGTGTTTCCTCCTTAGCAACAGTATCTATGCTGCCAGGGGACCCACCCTGGTAGGCCAGACTGCTGTGCATTAGATAGAAATTGCTGGCAAATTTTTTCAAATTACTAAGTCCATGAATCACACAAGGCCGATAATGTACAGCTCCAATCTCTGGAACTAAGCAGACTTTATCAGCATTGGGATTTACCTTTTGTTGACTGAGAAAAACCAGTTCTTGGAGGAAAAGAAATGAGTGCTGGAGCATCAGCTAATGCCTGTTTCTGCAGTTACTGTCAATGGTTAGAATGATATTATTTGCTGTGATCTGGTCATTTGTTCAGAGCTAAATACAAGTATGGTAAGATGGGCTTGTGCCCCAGTGAGTTTGTTATCTAATTCAGAAGCACAGGATGTGGGGAGATGGCCAGTCTGGGACGTGTTGAAGGTAATACACTGTTTGTGGTTGACTGGAATATTTTCCTATATGGCACTAGCAGCTTCCTTTAGACTCCTCTCCACAAATAACAATGCAATAAAAAAAGAAATCCCTTCTCACTTGATGTTCAAACTGTTTGATATGAGGAGTGAGAATATATTGTTATTCTGTGCTTATAAAATATATATTATATTCTTCGCTTTGCCTTTCTCAGCATTCAGAAACAAAAAACAAAAATCAAAAAAGCCCCAAAAAACCTCAAACCCAAACACATTCCTCCTATGATGTGATTTATCTTCCACCATGCTCTCTCCAGGGGCTGAGTGTTACCTCCTGTAGGCCTTAAAGTATTTCTGGTGGGCTTCACTATCACTTTACAGAATTGTTCTTGAATTTCAGTCACATACAATGGATTGTTCTGCAGGTAGTCTGCCTTCTAATCACACAGCTCACAAGATAAACTCTACTACACAGATCTCTTTTACAGAAAGCTTCTCAATTCAACTCACTGTTAGAATAAGTTTGCTCCTTGCTGTTGGGGAGCAGTAATCAGAAAGGACAAAAAGCAGCATATATCAAAAAAACCCTTGTATATATATTTTTTGTGGTGTAAAAGAAAATACAGATGCAGTACCACTGAAATAAAAGGTTTTGGAGCAAATGGAAATGTGATCCCTCACCCCACCAGCATAAAGGAGCAGATAATGGCTTGCATATCTGTCCAGAGCCCTTTTCCCTGCTTGGCTCTCAAAGCATTTTTAGCACTTTTAATACCATCAGCCAGTTTTTGCTTTCTAACAGCCCCAGACATAGAAAGTGGTCTCCTCATTCAGGAATCCCTCTCCAGGGGAGGCAGGCAGCTTCCTTTTGTGAGCATTAAGTGTTTTAATGAGGTAGAATGAGAAGCAGACAGAGGCTGAGTGGCTCTGCCCAGGCTCCCAGACCCTGCTAAGCCAGAGACAGAACACATAGAGAAAAAAAATATTCTGCATTTACAGCACACATTTAGTGACTCCTATATTTGCAAGGGCTGACTCAAAGCAGCCTTAAGAGTTTTGTCTCCAGCCAGGGGAGCTATGACAGCTGAAGCTGGTGAGTTTAAACTGAGCAATATCTTTAAGTAAATATGATTTTATTCAGCCAGGACTCTTTAACTTGTTGTATTTGTTGAACATGGCAACAGCTATAATATTAGATAAAGTAAGACACATCTGATTCTTGTAAGCAAGAGTCTAAATTCTATTGACTGTGTAAACTGAAGGGGAAAAAAGAAAAAAAAAAGTGCAAACCACACTGGTTCAATCCACTCAGCTGTGACAGGTTTGCAGTGCCTTAGACCAGCTGCAGCACATCAGATGTGAAACTTCAGTAGCTTCACAATCAGTTTTATTGCAACTGCCCATAGAGTAGCAAAGCATTAGGATAAAATAGTGCCAGACAAACATTATTCTGTGTAAATGCCTTAATCATAACCTACTAAAATGAGATTTCTCCTCATCTCACTTTTATATTACACTGTTGAAACCCTGTAAATTTTTTGCCAGTTTAAATGACAGTAAACAAATGCAGGGAAGAAAGAATAAGATGTTCTGTAAAGTTTTACTGTATTTTTGGATAGCTTGTGCTAGGCTAGGGACAGGGTAGATAGTTCTCAGAGAAAGTGAGATTTAGACTGAGAAGTGGTGTTTTATCAGCAGTGAGAATATAACTGGTAATTCACAGATTTTTTTTTTCACAATCCAGAAAAAAAAAAGTTATATACAAGGACCAAACCTAGAAGACAATAATGTGATACATAAGGACCAATTGTATTTAAATAACATCATTTTAAAAGAACTGTAACATAATGACTTTCAGAAGGTGCCTGACAGGTCATCTAATGCTCACCTCCCCATCACACAACACTCATAGTTGTTACGTGTGTGCACAACATCCTTTTTTCAGCTGCAGCAGTGTCAGCATCTGCCTGACACCCTGTGCAGGGAGAGCCAGCTCAGATGGGGTTTCTGTGGCCAGCAGCTGCTCTGTGTGTTTATGGGCCATTGCCACTCTAATGGCTGTGCATCCTGCACACATGAGATAGGCAGGGTGAAAAGGAGCCACTGCAAGGCTGCTGTCAGGGGAGGCACAGAAATAAATCCCAGCTGCATGGATAATGAGGTAATGGCCTACCAGAAAGAGACATTTAATTATATCTGTTCTGACAAGCCATTTATTTCTTTGCTGTGCTAATGCTGAGCCAACAAAGAGCAACAATATTACTTCTGGATCCAATCATAATTTGTAACAATTGCTGGCAATTACAAAAGTACTTTTAAAGAGGAGAGTGTCAAACTACCAGAGACATATATTTTATAGTTATATTTTCAAATGTTGAAAGAGTTTTTCAGAGAAAAGGATTTTCCAGGCCCAGAGGTTTGTCTCCATAGCAGCCTAACAAAAGATGTTACTCTTATCTTTTTGTTCACTGGCTTTCATATTCAAACAAGCTTTTCATAGATGAAATGCACTGCAAGGCTTTATTTTTTCTTTTTCCTATATGAAAAGGATTTTTTGCTGCTTTTGGTGAACTTTACATTTGATGTCATTTGAATGTTGTTCATTTAAGTGGAAGGAATGATGATCTGCCAGTGTGGTGACAAATGGCCAGTAGATGGAGGGAGCACACTGTGACAGGAAACAAGCAGAGCCTGCAGGATTTACTAAACTGAGGCTCCAATCATGTAGGAGATGATTAGCAGGGACAAGATGAATAGATTGTCACAGAGACTGCCTGTCCATGTGAGGGCATGGCATGCTCCTAATCCACCTCGGCCTGATCCATTTCCCCAGCCCTGATCCCTCCCGCACCAAAGCTGGGAATGGGCTCCTGAAAACTTGATAATCACATGCAGTGATGCTTACAGGTATATAAATATATTCCTTGTTTAGTCATGGCACCAGTGGAACATACAAGACTTACAAAGGTGAGCAATAAGGAATGAGATCAGTGCCTCAAAGAGAGCACCCTCTGTGAGACCAGGTGAAAGCAGATCCTGGGGTAGGAACCACTTTGGAGTGCATCCAGCTGGAGCAGGGCTGCAGCAGTGTCCTTTATATGTAATCTTAGGCAGGAACATTTTAAATGTGGGTGGAATAGTAACTGAGAGATGGCCAGGAGAGCTGCAAACCCACTCCTGAGCCATCTGAAGTGCAGGAAGGCACATGCACCACATCTTACAGTTACCTGTTACTCTTCCAGCTCTCAAAGGGTGACAAACAGAGATCTGGCACCTTCAATCAATGCATTCCACAGAACAGGGGGCAGAGCCCACAGCCTTTGTGATGTGGCTTTCTGTGTGAGCAGCCTGATTATTTTTTTCCCTAGACTGGAGGAAGAGGAAATGCTGATGGTCCTGCCCTACAGCCAGTCCCTGATGCTAGTGGCAGCCCCCAGAAGGGCCAGTGACTACCTGGGTTAGTTGTGTGGGGAGTTTGCTCTGGAAAGGTGGCAGAGAATGGCTTGGGAAGGAAGAACTGAGAGAGGAGGAGGCTGAGCTGCCTGGGGTAAGTGTTCACTGCCACATTTGTTCTCCTCTTTGCTGCTGCTATTACAGGGAAGCTGCAGCACACAGAGGAGGGGTACCTGGGCCACAGCCTATACAATTGCTTTGTCATGAGAGGTTAGCTTTTATAAGAGTTTAGTTTCAATAACAGTAGGTCACAATTATATTCCCATGCCTACTACCATATGATCCACATAAATTATGCACAGCAGAAGAAAAATTAAAAGTCTTAGTGAGTGTGTAATGAAACTTTAAAAAGAGAAATAGAATCAGATCTAAGATTGAAGTGCTATAATTGTAAAAACCTTTTTCAGCATAAGGTTTCCTTGCAACTCTGGCATTAATGACAGTTTTACATGATCAAGCTATTGCACCAAATAATCTGGGCTATAAATCTTGTTGCTTTATTATGTAGGAATCCCTCAAGAATTTCTCCCAGTGTCATCCATTTGCATTATATTACTCAGAGACTGTAAGGTTTTAATAAACAGCAGAAAAAGTGAGGTCATGCAAGACTCTCTCAGTACTTCCATATGTTTTTTGAAAAAGACAAAAAAGTGAAGGGAAAAACCCCAGAACAATCAATGAACACAGAAACTTACAATTCCATTCTGTACACTGAAGCCCAGCTGGTATTTTAAGTCTGGCCGTTTTATGAGGACAGTAGTCACAGGAGGACAGCTGACAATGTTCAGTTTGACTTGTGTCTGATTCTTGAGTCCCTGTAAGATATTCCAAAAGTCAATATTTCTGAAATGAATCTTACTGAGCCCTTATCTGTGATTTCCTATTTGCAAGAGTATTAAGCAGCTGATCTGAGAAAGATCAGTGAGAGTTAAGAGAAATTGATTGCTAATTTAGAGATACATTTCTCTTATTTATTTCCCTCAATATTTGGCTCAACAAAACATTAAAATTTTGCCTGTAATTACTACAGAAATTTAAACAAATCTTCCAATAAAAATCAAAACTGACTACTGCTTGCTGTTTCCCAGCATCTGGCTAATTAATCTCCTGATTCTGCTGCTCTTGGTAAATCTGCACAGACATCAGATTTAGTCTCCATGACTAAAGATATTGCATTCTGGGATTCCATTGTGTCTGCAGAGTCTTCATCTGCTCACTTGATCTGTCCTGCAGTCTTCCAGCCTCCACCCATTTTATCTGCATGGAACCCAAAAATGCATAGGAGATTTTAATCTTATTTTATGCTGGAGGCTGTGAGGAAGCTTAAAACTTTGAAGACAGCTGAGTAACTTAATTTAGGCAAGTTTTACAGACATGGCCTCATTTTTTATAGCCCAGTAACAAAACTGTAACATGTTCTCCAGCCCTAAATTTCTGTGCATTATCACTCCTGAATCTCTAATTCTGCTTTTTGTTAATGACAGATTACTGGGGTTTTTTGCAGTGATATGAAAAATTATATCTGCTGGAAATCTACAGGATCACTAGTCAGAAGATTCCACCTGTGTTGTCCTACAATCTACAGCATAGAGTTGTAAGTCTGGAGTACCTTTATGATCCCTTGGCATGTTGCAAGAGGTAGACCAACTAAACTGGTGCCATTAATGGACATGATTTGGTCTCCAATGCTCAGTTTTCCTGAACGTGCTGCAGGGCCGCCATTCATCATGTTGGCCAGGATAACTGTGGGTAGAATGGATCCCCATCCAGATTCCACAATCACTACCCCAAGAATTTCTCCCTTCTGTTTTTCTAGCTGGAGCTGCAATTAAAAAGGAAAAACATTTTTTTTACTTTGATTTGTCTGACTTTGAGCATGAATATGTCACTTGTTCCCAAATAACATCTACAAATCACAAACCAAATTCTGTTCTTTGCCATTAGGTACTTCATGACTTCAATGTTAACTGTGGAACACACAGCTGTTTCTTTTCAGGGGTGTCCTGCACTTGTTTGTTGAAGGTCATAGAGGTTTAATAGGCAGAGCACTCAGACATGGTTAACTCTGTAGGAAGTGGTGGAACTGAATGCCAAGGGAATCAATGCTAAGGAAGTTTCTGTCCCTGGAACCGGAGGGGGAGGCTCTAACCTTTTGTGGCTGAGGCAGTGCTTGCCAGCCAGGCCTTGTTCAGCTCCACTCCTGCCAGCACTGTTCAGGTTTTCTCTTGATCTCAGGGCTTGTCTGTCCTTTTCTGGCAAGGATCTCTTAATAATTATTACCATTACTATTGTTATTAATATTGTTAATTATTGAATGTACCCGTGCCTAGTGTGTTCATGTAAGATCCCTGATGTGCTGTAAAGGATGCCTTCTCCTGAGCTGTCAGTAACCACAGCACAGCTAACACCTATAAAGTAGAGCAGGAGTTTAAGTAGAGAACATGCTCTTGAGGTAAATGCAGGGAATTATTTTCTGTCAAATGTGGAAGGACAGGGAATGCTGATGGCAGCTGACTTCTGCTGAGGTTATCTTTTGCAGAAAACCACAACTCTGCCAGCCCTTTCAGTGTGAGAACTTAGGTGAAACATAAAATAACCTTACACTGTGTACTGTGAATAGCACAGAGCTTATCTAGCTCAGATGTAAATGTACTTTATTACTGTTCTGATCAATGGAAACAGAAAGACCTTGAACATGAAAACAAGAAATCCTAATAACCCATAAAGCTGGTTTTAGAACACAGGACTGATGAAGGACACATCTTGAAACTGTAATATCATCTTTAAAAATGCAAAAAAAAATATTTTTGAGACTATTTCTTTTACTCTGAAAAAAATTGGATCAATTTGAAATGAAAATCCAAATCTAGTTTACCTCTTTGCAGTTTTCTGAATTGGAGAAGTGTATGAGATCATCATTGTACATCTCTTGGGTGTTGATGATGTCACTGTATTCTTTCTGACTGAGATCCTCTGGGTTAATTCCATTGGCTCTTAAAAACTCTTGGTAAGCCACACTGAAAGCCTGACCGATTGACTGAGCTATGAGCTGTGCCTAAAATGTAGAAAAAAGCAGCTCAGAGAAAGGACAGATCAACAGTTTAGCAATGAAACCACAAGAAACCAGGAGAGAGATTGGATTTTAAGACAGAATCAAAATAAGAATCCTGCAAAGTTTCTGCATTAGCATGGATATAAAGTCACTTTAAGGTCTGCTGTACAGAAAGAACCCATTCAATCCAAAATCAAATTGCAAACTCCATTAAACCCCCTGCTGCTGCCCCCTGCTCAGTACACTGCAGCAGCAAGCAGCCATGTGCTGCCCATGCCCTGTTCCAGTGGGCACTGGAGAGGCCTGGCTGCAGCCCAGCACGAGCAGAGCTGTGGAAGGGAGCCACGAGCCCTGCTCTGAGCACAGGTTGCCTGCAGGGCTGAGGGGAGCAGGGATGCTCTGCCTGCATCCCTGGCTGTGGTGGCTCTGGCTGTGGTGTCACCTGCTGCTCCTCCCCCTGCCTTTCCAGGACTGAAAGCACAGCTCCAACACAGCCATCTGCTCCCCTGCTCCTGCCACAGTGCCTGTCCCAGCATCCAGGGATCCCCCTGCTTACCCACTGCACATCCAGCACACTATTCCCAGTAACACCTCGACTAGCAATGGCAGGGAGCATTTCAGGAGTGCAGCCAGAGCCGCCATTAAAGCCTGCTAATGTTGAGAACACCCATTCAAAAGCCCCCGTCTTTCTTAAATTTTGGAGCACTTAACTGCACATTCCACTAGATGGCAAGGGAACACAGAGAAACAGAGATCAGTAAAAGGAATGTGTAGTCACTTTTTCTACATTTGAATTTTTATGGTTTTCTTACTCTGGGTTTACTGCATCTCATTGAAGAATGCCATGTTGAGTTTTGTATATTTTTGGATCAACACTTGTGTGGTCATTGGGGCATATGAGTAGCTCCTGATGATATATTAATTGCACCTTACATGCCCTAAAAATATTACTAACCAAACCTGTATTCTGGAAATGCAGCACAGCTTCTTAGACAGTCAGTACCTTTTAAATGCATTTCAAATGCATGAGGTTTTCTGGTTATTATAAATCTGTATCTTCTTACAATCTATTGATCAAGTGTTTTCTTTGATGCTAAAAGGTTGTTTCTGTATTTCATTTATGCTGCTGTACACAAAAGCACCAATCTGCTTGACTGGAAATGACTTTAGAAAATTAAGGACATCAGTCACAAATTGTTTCTTCAAATTTTAAAGCATATTTTCAAGTCTTTGCTCTATACCTAGAGGTTTGTACAGAATCATACAATATGCTGAGCTGGAAGGGACCCATCAGGATCAAGTCCAACTCCTGGCTCTGCACAGGACTTCCCCAAAATTTCATCCTGTATGCCTGAGAGCATTGTCCAAATGCTTCTTGAGCTGGGTCAGGCTTGGTGCTATGACCACTGCCCTGGGCAGTATGGTAGTGCAGAAGTCACTCAGGACATTTTCATATCATTCCATTATTAAAATTCATCACTCATTACTGAGTCCTCCTGCTCTCCATTGCCACTGCTTTCTCTGTAGTTTGTCCTCTGCCTTTGCCTTCATTCTACCTTCCCAAAGCCATCATCTCCAGATGTCATGCTCTGTTCTACTGCTGCCAGTAACAGCCAGTTCTTACATCTTAATTACATCTCTATCTCTGAGCTCTTATGAATGTTTATGAAAGCATTATGCACAGCTTAGAGATAATGTAATTAAGTTGCTTGAAAAGGTTATCCAAGCAAAGCTGTGACAGAGCTGAGCTAACTGGGTCTCAGAACAACCCTGGTCTAGAACTCTAACCTTTAGGCAATGCCATTTCTCCTTCACAGGCTTAATTGCTTTAAAATAATGAAAATGGATTGCTCAGCTCAAAATATATGCAACCTCTGAGTTATGACTGTCTGACCCAAAGAACTCCATTATTTTTTAATTGGTATTATATCTAAATATATACCTAGAAGTTATATCTATAATTGTTCCTATAATAACAATGATGACAAATACTTTGTACTGCCTCTTACTGTCAAGTTAGAAACAGAACAAATTTTGCTTTTTCTGTTTTACTGGCTTGGTATATTTTTCCATTAATGTTTTAGGTTGAAGTCCCTTCTCTGCCACTTCAGACAGAAGTACCTAATTCACTACAATCCCAAACCCAGATATACAACAGCAGTAAAGCAAGGTTATCTTCTTTTGTCACAAGAGGTATGGGATGGCACATCAGCACTTTTCACAACAGTGAAACAGGATGTACAGCAGAGATGGACAGAATTCTATGATTCTATATAAAAATTCTAATTTGTAATCTTTGCTAGGGATGAAGAAAGAGAACTGAAAAATAAACAGCTGAATGTGTTCCTAAACACCAAAGGATCAAGTGGCATGTTTGAAAGTACATACAACTACAGGTCAGTAGCCTCAGGGAACCAGGACTGGGTAGAGGGCAGGCAAGGCAGTAGAAGGGACTTGGCTTCAGTTAAGAAGAAGTCCAGAATGGTTCCAGCTCATTCCAAGTGCCTGGAGGCACATATGTGTCATTTTGTGCCAATGCAGTGGACTGAAGGATATAATCCAGGATGAATGATCAGTTTGATATCCCACAGGTTAACTTTGCCCATGAATGGCCATTGACTTCAGAGCTCTCTCCATGGCCTGTGTTGTTTAAATGAATGGATCCATTTACTTACATCCTCTGACTCAAAGACATGGCAGATCATTTTGTACTGCTTCTTGCCCTCCTGGGCGCCGGGGGTGGTCTCGATGCAGTCCTGGGAGGCGGAGCGGGGCATGCGGCGCCGCGCCATCAGCACCACGATGTTGCCGATGTCGGCGATGTAGGAGATGGTGCGCAGCGCGTGGTCCATCATGGTTTCCTGCACACAGCAAGGACAAACAGAGCAGTTCTGCATGCCTGCTGCTCTCCTGCAAATACTGCAGCTGCCCTCTGCTTGACAGCCTGCTGCTGGAGAAAGACAAAAGCTACAGAAGCACTTCCTAAGGGCCCAGACTGGATGTTCCATCCAGTCAAAGGGAAGTAGAGCAGCTGTCCAAGGCATTGGCTTCAATGGAACTGTTACCTGAGCAAATTCAGTATGGTTGCTGCTGTAAAGGAAGAATGAAGAGCTATGCTGCTGTTTTACATTCATTTTCATGCTGTTGGAAAATTATGTTATTCCTTTACATATTTTTCTGTTGTTAGGATGAACTGTACATTAGGAAATAGAAAGGGCACACCTGAAACCTGCTTCTGGCTGGGGTCACTGATCAGTTTGGAGTTTTTCCAGGGTTTATCTATTGCTCAAACTAGAAACAACCAGAAGCATAATAGTTGTACTGATCAAACTAGTTGAGGATGTGTCCTGACCATCCCTGTCCCTCACCTTAATAGCTAAAAGCATCCACCAAATTCTATCTTAATTGCAACAAAAACAAGTGGTACAAGTTAATTCACAATTTTAATAATTTATATAAGCATCAGCATTCTTTATGTAAACAGCTTGGCACTAGTTTAGCGTCAGTTGAACAATTTTCTAAGGCCTAAGGAAGAAGGATTGTTCTTCAAGTGAACAAAAGTAATTGTTTTAAGAATTTCAGTACAATTTAACTTGACAGACAAAACTACAAATTACTGTTGTTTCTTAGAGCCACTTGTCTTGCTGAAGATAATCACTACCCATAAAATTATTGTAATGATTCTTCTCAGGCTTGAAATAATGCTTATCCCTAACCTATGAAAAGTAATGATGGTTAAGAGGTGGCTTGAGGAGTGTCTCTAAGGGCTGCAGGGGCTCAGGAGGATTTACAGCACTTCTGTCAGAATGGAAAAATGTTTTATAATGGACATGTCTCAGCAGGATGCAGGGAGCTCTGCAGAGATAAGAGATAATTGCTTTTCAGCAGTGTGCACCAAGTATTGTGTAAGGGTGTAATCATACATGCAGTGTGCACAAGAGTGAATGCATTGGGAAAATGAAGGCATTTCATCTCACCTGCCAAGAAAGCCTTTCTGCCCATATCATCACACAGGGGTTACTTAAATGGTTTGAGTTTTTTTATTTTCCCCTTGTAGGGGTGAAAGCAATCATTCCTCCATCCCTCCCACATTTTTCCTGTTAAGAGTAAGGCAAATACTATCTGGTGACTGTAAACATGAGTTTACTTTTGACTTACTTGTGACTTGACTTTTTCCTTTGTCTCTCCATATTCCACTGTACTCAATTTTCCATTACCAATATCTTTTTCACCCCTCTCCTTCCCATAAATCCCTCCTGCTATTTGCCTCTCTCCTTTCTTTTATCCCTTTTTCAGTCCTATCCATTCCATCCTTGTTGTCCTTATATTTATCCTTAGAAATTCAGCCTCTCTCAGGCTTTTCTGAAGCCATTGTTCTCTTCTCCTGTCTAAATTGCCCTTTCTCAGATTCTCCCTTCTTTCCCATGGAATTCTTACAGAATCTTGTTTGTTGCTTCTCTTGAAACCCAAAGAACAGCTGAAGGAAAAAACCTAAGCATTCCTCCAAGATTTAAAGTGCTCTAGTCCTGTGGGAGTGTGAAGACAGCCTAATGAGTCAGGCGATTTAGTGAAGTCAATCATGCACCAGAGGCTCTGCACATACACATTTGTGAGCTCTACATCTTTATTTTTCTTTCTTCATTTCTCCAGCTGCTTCACTCCCAGCTTCTCTTCACTGACTGAGCAAGAAGCTGGGAGAGGCTGCTGTGGCTTCTGCAGGTTTGGGGCACTGAGTGCAACCCCACAAGCTGTGGCACAGGGGAGAATTCCTGTCCTATCAACAAGGCACGTGGGCAAACATAAGGCTGCTCCTACTAACCAGGTGCTCCATGGCTGAATGTATTCAGCAACTAAATGCATAAACACCCAGGAATGGCAGGGGTGCCATTTCCTTGTGCTGTTCAGGGCAACACAATCACCACTGCTGGCTCTCTTCCAGCCCAGGAATGCACCTGACTGGTGCTGCTCAGCATTTTAAACCTTGCTGTATGTCATTTCCTGAATGGGAATTTTACATTTTCATTCAGCTGTTGCCTCACGTGAGCTATACGACACCACAGATGGATTAAAACACATGGCATGCTGCAGAAACAGGGTTTATGTAATTGCTAAAGCCCTGAAAGTACAGATTGTCTCTGCCAGCTGCCACCCCAGCTGAAATAGACCCATGGTAATTATACCAGCCAGGACCTTCATTAGCACTGAAAAGTGTTACCAAGCCAAAAATGCTAAAAAGTCATGGGAATATTTCTATAATAGCTCTTTGAAAGACATACTGTAAAAAGAAACACAAACAAAACCAAACTAGCAAACAAAAAACACAACCAAAACCCCAGGGAAAACACTAGAGAGCTTGGAATTAGAACAATTTCCACTATTATTATTTTCATCTGGTTGAGCAGCTCAGACACTAGACACCACTTAGGATGGAGCATTGCATTTTGCATCACTACAAACCTCAGGGGATCAGAAGAGTAAGATGCCAGTTCCTTTTACAGTTTGTGGGCTACTTCAAAGGACCTTTCCTTTTTTTTTTTTTTTTTAATTGGTGTTCAGCTGAAATGCTGAACTATTTAAAGTAAGAAGAGTGATTTCCACTAAGACTAATCCTTACTTAACAGACACTGTACCTGTTAACTGCCATACATTCCAGCTATAAACTGTAGCTCTTCATTTATCAATAACATCCCCTAAACAAAGAAAACTTGGCATGATTTACTTCTGACAAAATGTTCCTAAAATTGCCCTTTTCAATGCCTCTCATAAGAATGAAAATTTGAAGACTTCCTGTAAGTATGATCGAAGTTATGAGATCTTGTGAGATTACTAAATATTGGGATCCGTGTATAAATTATATGTATGTAGTTGTAAATTCCTCAAAACCTCCTTTTGATGAAGATCACCTCTTGTTGAATAGACAAGCATTCCTAGAAGATGAGGCTGGTCATTGCTGTGCTCTCCAAATGCTGCTTTTATATGAACCATTAATAATTTACCTTAGTCAATAGGATGGTGGCTCAGATGTGATTTATGGAAAAGAATTGAGATGAAATGTTACAAATGGCAGGATATGAACGGCTTAGTCAAAGCAGCAAATGACTTCCCTGTTGGACTGTAAATCTGGGCTCTGAAGCTGTTCCAGAGGAGTGGTGTACACGCATTCTGAAAGGCTGTTGAATATTTTTTGAATTTATTTGAATTATAGTTCAATTATAGCAACATGCAGACATCTTCCAGCACATCAAATAAGCAAAACAGGTGTCAGTCTTATTAGTCTATTGGCAAGTGCTAGAACAATAGGAGCTTTTTGTGAATGCTCTGAGTACCTGAATTTATCCAGGTTCAATAAAGTGTCCCACTAATTGTGTAAGAGCACAGTCTAACTCAACATTATTCTCCAGGAGTTTAAATCCAACTTACCTGTGTGTCTGCATTTAGAACTTTGATTCTCTGTGTGGAGATGAACAAATCCACTTCAGTCAAGGCTTGGGAATCTCCCTCTGAGGTCTAAAAGACAGATGATGTTTTACAAGGGAATTTTTAATTTTCAAAATGACAAATTCATGGACTGCTTCAAGCATAATGTGATGTGAGACAACTGCACTTAAAACCATTACAGAGCTGGCTATTCAAAGGTGTTTCTAAAGACATGCAAAGAGTACATTTATTGCATAGACAGAGTGAAGCCTACTCTGATATTCTGGGTAAGAGAGAATTTTTGGAACCTGTGGGATTGACAGCTCAAGCATTTAAATTCTCTATTTTTAGCCAAAACAGGTGAAAAAGTATGGCTGGTTTTTCCTTACTTTCTCACTGATGCACTTCAGTACTTGAGGCACCAGACTTGATAAAGTAGGAGAACTGAGAAGGTGACTTAGTTCCCATCAGCTGTTTAGGCCTTGCCACCTTCAGTGAGCTCACCAAAAAAAGTGCAAACTGATGCTCAGTGGGGTTTAGGACTTTTTTTTTAAGCTTTTTGGGTTTTCCTAGAAAGTAAAGAACCAAGCACTGAGCTAATGTTTCTCTCATATCACAGAAGGCCATCAGGGGACTTTTAGACCTCAGCTGCTTCTGAGCACTGCTCACTAGGGAAACACTTCCATAGCCCATCAGAGGGCATGGTCACAGAGCAAGAGGGATCATTACAATGTAATGTCAGACTCCAATGTGAGTCCTGGCTCTGTCCACTTGAGAAAACAGGAGAAGAGGTGGCAAAGCAGCTGCTACCTCTCACTGAAGCATTGTCCAAGTGCTGCCCTAGTTCTCTAGTCCAGCAGGAACATATGGATTCCTGCAGGCTGCTTGGGCACAGGGACCACTGCAGCTGGTACTGAGCAGCACCTGTGGCAGCAGCCTCAGAATAAAATAGCCACACATTGTCTCAGCCTGGGCTAAAGGCAGGCACCAGTCTCCAGGTCAGACACTGGCTCATGATGAGAATTATGTATTTGCTAATCCTTTTTGGAGTTATAAAGGCTTAGCTATGCCTATAATTCATTTAGATTAATTTTATTCTAATTATCTTCCAGCAAAACACAAAGCAAGCACATACTTTGGCAGATACTACTTGTATTGCTTCCATCCTTATGGTGATATTTTTGTCATCTGTATTTAGTTATTTGAAGTATTGTTTTTAACAGTGCAATGTTTCCTGTATGAATTGTTCCAGCTACTATGTGGCGAATTTATTTTGGTTTTAAATATCAACAATAACGATAAATATACAGTAAGTCACAGGCACAGGAAGAACATCTTACTGCTTTGGTTAGTAAAATCAAAATAAGCATTGCATTCAAAAACATCTCCCAGATAACAATGGCTGTGCATCTGCAGTAAACAAATCACAGGTATTCAGCAGGAGAAGGGCAGCAGACAGGCACTCCAGCAAATGAACAATGAAGAAAATGAGTTCATTTTACTCCATTCACTATTCTACTGCAGACCAAAGAAGAAACCAAAATGACAACTTTATGAGGATCTGTAATGAAAGACATGACACGCCATGGAAAACAAGGACAACAGAAATGTAAGTAAACATTAGCATTCAAGAAAAACAGTTTACACACCGCTTTTTTCTTGATTTTAGCCGCCTTTTGCATCCTCTGAGGAGCAGCATAAAAAAAAGAATGCAGACAGATGTACACAAAGGGAAAGAGAAAACACAGTGTGGGAAGTCAGGGAAACTTGGACTGTGAATCCAGACTGCTGAAAATTAAAAAACTGGGAGCAGTGGGGGAATGATATGCAAGAGAGAAAGATTTGTTTATACTTTATGCAGTTCTCAAGCATAATTGGATTTCATGGCATTGTGCACATTCACAATTGATTACAAAAGAATTGGTACCAAAGTGTTGTCTGTTATCAGCTGCTCCCAACACTTATCCTGACAAATTTACAGCAGTCAAAAAGGGCAGCACATGCATCTTAAACCCAAGGTTTTGTCTCCATGTTGATCACACGTCTACATGTAGCTGTTGAACAAAACACAGCTCAAGCCCCCTGCCATGACTGTCTAGAGTAGACAGGTAGCCCTGACAGATTGGGGTTGGTATTAATACATACAACAGTTTTTAGGGAGTTAACTGCAATCAACAATTACTTACTGTAACTTGAGATATCACAATATGCTAAATAGAAACAGAAAGGTTTGGAAAGTTTAAAGAACTGGACCTTTCTTGCATTCCACTTCTTTCTAAATGCTAAATCAATTATCAGTCATGACAATCTCTTGTAAGTGGCCTTTCCAAACTTGTTTTCTTCAAAACCATGCAAATTTTAGCAATTAAATATTTCATTGACTATGCACATACTTTATCTCCTAATATTTAAATCTGCCTTTAACAGTGTGCTTATTCAGATAAGATATTTACAGCAGAGGTAAAGTAACTTCTAAAAATCTACTACTTAGATTCTTAATCAAAATACTATTTTCTTTACAGAGCTCTATGAAGCAGTCTATGATACATTATTACAAAGAAATTATTCACTGTAAATAAAACAAATCCAAACACAATAGCAATGAATATTCTTGTCCTAAAAAAGTAATAATATAAGTAATAATATTGAGACTTTCTCAATTTGTACTAAGTTAAAGGAAGTAATAACAGAAGAGTAAAACCACAGTCAAACAAATACCCCAGTGCTTTGCCACTGGAATATTTTCTAATTGCAATCTGCAATTTGTCTCTCTTGAATTTGTTAAACAGGTTCCAAAGAATTTTGAATAGACTCCAGAATAATTTCTATTTTGCTGTATGAATTTTTAACAGCAAGCACTGTAAACTAATGGTATTCACAATACTGATGTATACTTACCTAACTGCACCTCAGGAGAGGTTTGAGGCTGCAGATCCTGCAGCACTGAGGGATCAGCTGTTAAAGGGTCAGAGAGTATTCTAGAGGCCAGGAGGATGCCCTACCTTGACCCTGCTCACTGCCTCCTGGGCCTGCATCATGCGGATGTTTTTGGAGGGGTTGCGCTCGGACAGCAGCTGGGTGGAGCCCAGGTAATTGGCTGCAAAGATGATTCCATCGATGAGGTCCTCAGGTTCACAAGGCCCTGGAACTGACAGGAGGCATTTATGGTTACTGCCTTTCTAAGGAGTGGGGAGGTGAGAAATTGAGTAAAGATATTGAGGCTTGAACAGCCCTTCTAATTCTGGGACTGTGCTCACCATCCTCTTTATTCAGCTGTTAAGCTTTACATCCAACTTGATTAGATTGACAGTAAGGAATAGTCATTCCAGAGTTTGGCTGAAATCTCTTTATACTGAACATTTTTTATGCCTCAATAGTTTTATAAAAGAAATGTGCTTTGAGCTAGATCCACTTGATGACCTTCTAATGCATTTTTTTTTTAAGTATAAAAATCTTGTGTAAGGAGAAAAATGACACTGAAGGGGAATGTTAATTTTAAAAAAGGCTTATTGTTTGGTGTTCAATTTATTTATAATTAAGTCAATGTGGACGATTATTATGTGGAAAGAATATATGGTATGCTATGCTGATTAAATGTACTGAAATAGTGGTTTACACATGCATCTTTCAGTGAGCTTTCCTATCCTTCATATTCCCATTCTAATTTAGCAGAAGTCTTCCAACAGAATATAAACATGATTAAAATGAGTGACTCTCCTCTTTAGGCAGTGTTGCTGACACTTATTCATCCCTGCAGATCTCAAATCCACCTGCCAGAAATCTCAACCCCCAGCAAAAACCCACAGTCTTTGTGATCCAGGACTCAAGGTATACAAACATGTAGATATATATTTATAGCAGTCCTGTACTCTTCAGAGACCTGACATTAACTAACAATGCTCGTACAAATGAGAGGGATCTGGTTTGCTATCAAACACCATTGTTTTCATCTTCATTATATACCACAGAACACATGTGATTTAGCTCACATCTGTACAAATCCAGTGATGGCTTAGATCTTCATTATAACTCAGAATAGAATTCTGTGGAATTTAAAATTTTTGAAGTATTGGGAAAGCATTAAAAAATAGCTTGATAATCTCCGCTAGAAGTATGAAAACCCTCAAAGAAATCCTTAAGAAGCCAGTAATTTAGAAGTCACTGAAACTCTTCATAAAGGCCAAGTCTTTCAATAGCTCAAAAAAAAATCCTTGTTCTTGCAGCCTTAATTCACTAAAAGAAATCGAAGGGAATGAAAATTCCACCAGAGCTCTGTTCCTGTATCACTGCTTCTGTGTGCTAATATCTCTGTACCATTGTATTTTTCAGCAGATGGATGGTGTGTTTTGTATGGTGCCTTTTCTGATGGTGTTATTCATTTGTCTTTTCAGGTCTAGAATTTAGTCTCATACATCTGTACTTCTACAGCATGCAACATAATACTCATGTTGCATGATATTGACATCTTGTTTCAAGGGTAGCAGAGAGGGAAATTAATTAAGGACGTGAATTTAATGTTAAGGTAGCAAAACTTCATTAGATACCTGCTTCAACACACTCACTCAAAATTAAAGTAGCTTCAATTTTGTTTTCTTTCATTCACTTCGGGCTAAGTAAATGAGGCTAAATTGAATCAAGATTGCTTTAACTCTGAAATAGGCTTACCCACATGTTTTAATCAGTTTAAGTAAACTCCCTTAGTAGGTAATTTAGATTAATTTTCTTGAAATGTTTGTGTCTGAAGACAAGTAAAACTGCAATTCTTTGTGCAAATTCTCATATAATCATTACTACATCAAGCAAAATGCCCAGGGTATCTTTGGGGTCTGTGCAACCTATGTATGCTACAAAGGAAAAAGCAATTTATTCTCATGTCTTGGCTGTTTGTGACAGCAATGGTGTTTTTAACTAATTTGTATGAAAAATAATCTAGAGTGTTAAACAATTTTATAATCATAGTGTTATTTATTTGGATTTCTTAAAGACTGGGGCTTTTTTGGTTGGATTTCATTGGTTGTCTTTTCAGAGCTTTAAAAAATGTTGTTTTGCAGAATCATTATAGTAGAAACAGTCAGCTACATCATGTATAAATCAGCAGCATGCAGAAAATGCTTACAGGAGTAGATAACAGAGGAAAAAAAAGACATGTTGGGCAGAAAACATTTCCAACATACATTTCCCATCATGAAGGCAATGTAAACAACTGTCAGGTAAAACAAGACATCTCTCGGAAGGATGGAATGGTGCTGAAAATTGCCAGGGTCAAATTGGGTCACCTGGGTGTTTTCTTCCCTTATCTCTGTCTGCTTTAAATAATGCAAAAATGCAGACTTGGCTGAGGTCCCAGCTCATCAGAGCACTTAAGCATGCCCTTGACTGCAAGTGTGTGCAAAGGCTTACTGATGAGGAAGGGAAGAAGGAACAGGTTTCAAACGTGAAGGTTAGTTTGATGTGAGCAAAGATTGGAATTTTATGTTGAATATTGGTGCTTAAACATTAGATAACTATTTCTGAAAAATTTAACTGCAAATTCCTGCACTTGTCATGGCAATAGAGATTACTTGGTTTTCTGCTGATCTATTAATGTAACAAGTATAAAGATAATTCTACACTAAATAGACTACGTCCAAACATTTTTTAATTACTGTTTGTATTCATAAAATAAGAAAAAAGAAAACTCAATCAAAAAGAAATCAATAATTCAGCATGACTGAATTAGTTATCTGTTAAGAATGCATTTTTACATCTGCCTAACATCACATAAGCCAAGGAGTCAGACAATATTTAGAGACTGCACTCTGAGCACAGAGCTCAGTTTCCTGCTGAACTATCAGAAGTCACTGAGACCTTGGGATGTGTGGCACTGCAGCAGATTTTTCATAAGGACTAAATGGACACAGGGCATAGATCACCTTCCAGAATGCCTATCTACTACTTCCATATTCTGACTTCTTTACTTCATCATGCTTGTTACTGTGTAAGGGAATAAGATTTATGGTGCTAGGACAAAATGCAGAACAGACAGAACCACTGAACATAGAACTAATTACTCCTATGAGCATGTAGTGGTGGTACTACTACTAAAATAATTCTAAAAGTAAAGGACATTTAGATATGATAGATTAAGAGATATTTTTTCTGCTTACATGGCATATGAAAAATATTATGCATTAATAGAAGTATAGATATAGCTGCTGTAGTTAAGGAGTCATGCTGAAAGTGCTTTAAAACTGAGTAGGAATATAAAACAGAATATGGCAGTGGTATTGCTGTCAAAGCTCAGGGAACAGCAGCAGTGTTAGCTGGCAAAATCTTTTCTTATGTGCAGAAGGGTCCTGTACTTTTTGAGACTCTACATACAAATTAATAATAAAAACTGTGTTTTTCTCAGAGTTCAGAGAGCAGTCATGTAAGCTATCATAAGCTCCTGGTGAGCCATGTATTTATTTGTATTAGACAATGCTATATAATACCTGCAATAGAAAAAGCCTAATAGGCAGCTTATCCTCACATACTGTGCCACTACAGAAAAAATCAGAGCAACCAAAATGATTGAACTAAAAAAAGGTATTGTATTATATTATGTAAAGGGTATCCTGACCCCTTTCCAGCAGAGTAGTGAGCTGACTGGTATGTAAAGAAAAAGACATAACCTTTTTATCCCAGTAAAATTAAAATGTGCAGTTGTATCTGCAGCACTACAAGGGGAGAATTGTCTTGGCTGCTTTAAAGTTCTGTGCATGCTGGCCTTGCTTTGTGCCTGTCCACCATGCAATCAGCAGATGCTTATTACAAAGCATCAGCTTCCTTTCTTGTCTCTGCCACTCTTGGGGAATGTGTTTAAAGGTACCTCTATGTAGGGCCTGTTAGCCAGTACATGCCAAGTGTTCCATGTGATATCCCTCAGGTGTCAACCTGAAGGGGCAATCTTTGAACTTTCAATTTGTTCTAGTTCTTTAAGTAAATTACTGAAACAGAAAATGCTTGTCAAGATGGTGAGATCAGGGAATAAAAGAAAAATGTGTTGGATATCCTAATATTATTCTAAATTGTATTAAGTTTTCCCTGAGTTGAGAATGGCATTAGAAATTAAGTTTTTCACAATCTTTTAAGGCTTCTATTATGTGTGTTCATGGCAGATCTGAGGGATCAGATTCTTGAAAATGTCCTACTGTCTTTTCTCACTTTACAGTGCAGTCATTTTCTTTGCAGGAAGAGCTGTGTGCATTTTCCCTGTGAAAGGTTCTTCAGCTGTCTGTTAATCAGAGGATGGTAATGTTTCTCAGTACAATCCTCTTTTCTTTCTGTCCACCTTCTTGTGCTAATAAATTGACTTATTTTTCTTCAACCAGAATACCTGTAATAGCACTGCAGAAGAGATTGAAGAAACATGTGAAAGCTTTGCTCTCCTGAACAGAGGTTGGATTATCATTGTCTGGTCAGTATGGGAGAACCCTTCCATTTGTGCTGACAGCAGAGGTTCCCAGAGTTTAATAATGGGCCCTGAAGAACACAGTGCTCTTACACATTCATAAACCTCCTCCTGGGTTCCACTGTTACACCCTTTTTAACATCTTCCAGATTTGTAGCTGTTCTTCATTTTCACCTGAATCCTTCTGGGAGCTCTACCTGCTCCTCCTTTTTTATCACCACTAGGCTCCCATTGCCATAAGGAGGGTGAAAATGTTAAATACTTCCATACTTAAACTTCTCAGCTGGTTTTTAGGACTGTGATCTTTTATATATAATAAAATATTTGCTTCCACTTCATCCTACTTTAATTATGATGTCAAACTTACCATCAACAAAACTTGGAAAGGAAGACACTTTCTTTGTCTGTTGAGAAATAAAAATGGTATAGCTGTAACAAAATAACTTTCACACAATGAAGTGAATTGTTATTACATTTAAACAGGTGACCACTGTCACATAGGCACTGTTCAGCACACAACACATCACAGTCATTAACCCAACCTAACTGTTACACAGTGCTCTGTACTTAGGAGTCCCAAAGTACTTTAAGATCCCACCAAACAAAAAAATAAGGGGGGCAGAAGGAAGATCATGAAATGGCCTAGGAAGTCTGCTGTCAAATGAACAATACAAACCAGCAATTCCCAATACAATCAGTTGCCTATTAGACCACATTGCTTATTAGTGATAGCCCAGATTTCCAATAAGAACATTTAACAATGTTTTACAAAGCAAGATTCTGGGCCAGTGAATGAAAAGAACTGTCCCTGACTGCTCAGTACATAGAATTACACTTAATCCTAGCAGGGGCCATAACAGTGTTCTTCTTAGGCTGCTGTCCCTAGAAGAGATACAGTCCTTCCATTCTTTGTCTTTTGGCAGCCTCCTCAGTTGTTCCCATTTCCAGGAAAGAGGCTGATTTCTCCATTATGGGAAAAGGCTTTAGAAATGTGCCTCTTCATTAATATAACAGGCTAGAGGCTAAATATGTTATGGTTTAGAGATAAGAGACTTCTGCTTTTAAGTCTCAATTTCATTTCATTGTGTCTAGCCCCAAGCACAACTCATTCTGCATTCTCAGATGTCTCCTTTGCTCCAGTCTTCAGTGACAGGAGCAGGTCTATCACTGTGTCTCTTCACAGCTGACTAAGCCAGGACTGACACTGGGAGGGGTGGGGGAGGAATGGAAGCAGAACACAATTTCCTTTGGATGCCACTTTTGCACTCCAATAACCCAAAAAGAGAACTTCTGAAGTGTTCTCCCTACTCTGCATGTCATCAGAAAAATTTGGGCTTGAGTACATGCCATAGACAGTTACATAAAATGAATGAGGCCGCAAAAATTTATGGGTATGGTTCGAAGCCTTTTCAGAGTAGGCAGATTTGGTATTTATTGTCAGTGCATGAAAAGAAAAAAAGAAAGGGAGCTTAGTTTTGTGTGTGAGAGAGGGAGAAGGCTGACAGTGTGAGGGCTGCTGTCCCTGCTGGAAGCCTGGCTGCAGGCAGCACAACTGGCAATCTCAGGTACCTACCTCGGGGGGATTGTTGTTGTCAACGGGGCCATTGAGGTCTGAACGCTGCTGCTTCCTGGGCTGCTCTAAACCATTGCACATCTGCAGGAAAAAAGAAAGGATTTCACATCCATTACTTATCTGAAGTTATTTATGTACAATCAGGATTCATTACTGGTACCAAAATATTATAATGTGATATAGCAGTTGGTATTTCCTACTGTAATTTAGCAAATATCAGTTTCACATAAAAATGTTAAGCTGTTTAATTATAATAAAGTATCTACTTTCGTGTAAATAATAAGGCATTTCAATTATCATTAAGTAGCAGTTACAGTACTGATTTAAATATAAATTATTTTATGTCAGCGCAAATTTTTCATATGAAATTAAGTCAAATGCTATCATGTCCAAATAAATCACAAAGCAAAGTCAGAATTTTTTAATGTGTTTATTCCCAGTATTGTACAAAATCAAAACAGCCCTAATGGGCATCTCTAATCTGAAAAACAGAATTCTAGCACAGAATGTAGGATCCTGTTTGTAGGAGATACTTTGTGGCATCTCCTTCCTTGTGGGCCAAACAAATCTACAGGATGCTGGCAGTACAACCTCAGGCTTCAGAAGAAATGTGAAAGAGAAAATATAAAATCATACACAAAGAAAACACTAAGTATTTTAAACTGCAGAACACTCCTTTTTTCCTGTTCCAGTAGTCTCAGGGGCAGAATTTCTTTTCCAGACCAGACCCAAGTCACACAACACCAGCACCCAGCATGGAGAGTGCCCATGTCCTCTAAGTACTGAGAAAGTTTTCATGGCCCAGATTTTCAGTGTTATGAATCTGGAAAACCAAGGTGATTTCTGGAACCAATTTTTATGGCTTAGGATATTTCATTTTCCCTTTTTTCTTAGTTTCTCTAAAATGTATAAAAATAGGGCCAAAATGCCACTTCCATTATAAAGCTTCAGAAATAAAAACTTGTATCAACAATTGTGCAAATGGAAGGATTATTTGAAAGGGTCAGCCTGAATGTTAAGTGGGAATGTACCTCCTCGGCTTCTGACCTTTAAACACAGTATGTAGCTGCAGGCAAAACAAGTCTTTATGCTCACCTCTAGACAAATGATTCCCTATGACTAAAATTTAGTCAGCTAATGAAGCAGGCACATTAGAGCTCAGTAGTGACAATTGTCAGGTAAGAGAACATACACAAAGCAAAGATTCACCCAAGTAGTAAGCAGGACTTTAAGAAAGAAATGACTATCTGATCACAGGAAAAAAGGTCAGACTTCACACTCTTCTTTCAAAAAAGACTCCATTCCTTATGTGTTAGTTCAGTGGTGGTGCTAATACACGTCAGGAGTGAAGAGAAATAAAATTCTGATGAGTAATTCCAAGTAAACAAGTCAAGTTTGGGAAAAGAGGAGTCAGAGTAAGTTGAGAGGTCTAAGGTCTAGAAAAATTATTTCAATACTCTATCAAATTTCAGTAGACATTAATATAACTTCCAATTTATTTTTACCACCTCAAAAAACCTTTTTTTTCCTTTTCTTTTGTCCTTGCATATATTTAAAATTGAGAACCATGATGAGTTTCAGAGAAAAAGCTCTGCTGAATTTTTAGGGAGATGTAATTAGGAGCACATGCTGCCTTCTGATTTAAACTTCCTGAGAAGACTTTGTCACTTCTGCATCTTTAGGCAGGAGACATTGATTTTGCTGTCTGCTGGTGTCAGCAGCAGACTGCTAAAACTCTGTGACTTGGCCAATTAGCACAAAGAAACTGGTTTTGTTTGAGACTGTTTCAACAGCTTAGCACTTTAAGTACTTGGTAACTTTGGGAACTGTCACTTGGTAACAGATATTTATTAGTTCTGCCCCACAGCTGCCTAGGGCGCAAAGGAGAATGCAGAAACCTTCTTTGATACTCTTCATTTACACCCATTTGTGTTTTCTACAAACTGTTCTCAAATGCATCCCATAATACACAGACTGACTTCCAGCAAGACATTCCTAAGAAACACATTTTCCAAACTGCCTATCACTTTAGTTTCTTCACACTGTTCTAAAGGTGAAATCTTTTACAGACAAAAGACTCCTGGATTTGGATTCTGCAGCAGCAGAGCACTGTCCCCATGCTGAGAGAAGGAAATAAATATTTGTGTCAATACTGAGCTCCACCAGCACAGGCAGGGGAAGCACAGTGGCAGCATTGACCTGTGCAAAGCTTTTGGAGGGGGAAAAGAGATAACATACAATGGCTTTGCTAAATTTTCTTTAACAGATTTTTGTAGGGATCTGTAGTCTGTCTCTGGAGTTCCATGTTGAAGAAGTAGAAGGACACGGCCTCTGTGAAAGTTGTGCAAGCAGACTGACACTGCAGGAGCTTGTGATGTCCCTACTGGGGCAGTCTGTGCAAGCATATTTGGTTAGGTTCTCAAAGGTATGCCAGTGCTATGAAAGAATGGTAGAGAAATGAGAAGCAGTAGGATTCAGTGTCACAGGCAGCATCATTGAAAAGCAGACTTTCCTCTGAGGTCCTCCTTTGTAAAGGAGGCAAATTTCATGGCAAACTCCTGTTTCTTCAAAAGGTTAGAGGTGGGATAGGTGTTGGTGCTGTTAAAAACATTTTCTTTTATTAGTAGTAAATAAGATTTGCTTGAATAAGGTAGGAGAGGACACATTCTCAGCATTCTCACATTCTAGGTTTCCCTCAGACTTGTCTAGTGCTAATCATCTCCTTTAGTGTTTCCCTAGAAGTATTTACAAATAAAGGCTAATCAAGCCAAGCTCATATATCCCTGAAGTTTTGAAGCCTGAGCACTTGTATTTAAGATAGGAAACTGGCCCACACTGAAAGTCAAACAAGATGCTTACTTTGTTTTTCTTTGTTAGGTGTTTCTTTTAAAATGACTGTTTTCTGGGGCAAACTCAGCAATAGGAACCTTTAAAATCACATTTGTTTACTTGTTATTTAACAAATGTCTTGCAAACAGAATGTTAGCACCTATCATGAGCTAAGAATTAATAGCTGTGTATTTTAATGGAATGTAAATGTAAATAAGCAGTAATTCTACCTATGTGAGGCAGGAGAGGAGCAGAAACATGAAAAAGCTAAGGATAGCATACTATGTGCATAAAACAACAAATGCACCTTCCTGCTTGCTCATTGTTTACAAAAACTGACATACATGTAGTATATCTTGATTTAACATAGAAGCATTTAAATCTACATTTATTTAAAGATAACTGAGGCAAAAAAGTGCTCTATATGCAGTATGTGTGCCTCTATTATCCCTTTCAGCATGATCTTTTGTACTGTGAGATGCACACTTACAATAACAGCTCTTTTAGAAGGTGACAAAACCAAGGCTCTTCTATGCAGCTTCTCTGTGAGCAGTAAGTTTAGCATGCAAATCTACTAACAATAGCCTTGGGTTTTTTTCCTTTCACTATGGAAGAAATTGAATTATTGTAGTTGGTTTAAATATTGTAGTTAGAATTATGGCTATCTTGGTTTCACAAATGAGACAGGTTCATTTAGGTAGTGCTCTAATTCCATCCATCCCTTTGACATTTCATAGTAAATATAAATAAATAAATATTTCATAGTAAATATTAAACCAATTGAATGCCCCAGAAGAAAAACAGAATTGTCCACACTTTATCTCAATTCTTTGAGGTCCAGCATTAATGCTAAACATCCAACCATACCTTGTGCTAAGGACTTTTAAGGAGCTACTAAGAAAACACGTAACTTGGGCATGTTATAGATGGATAATGAGATGATTGGCTCTTGCAATTAAGAGATTAATATTGTGTGAATATCAAAGAGAAGCTTTATTGATGTATGTTATTATAGTTTAGATGCTCTCTGTTCTCCCCATAGATCCTTTTTCCCCCCTGTATTGTTGCCATCAGACAGCCAGGGCTGTCTAGGCCAGGTAGAAAGAAGGGGTGCACAGGTGCCCCTTGTATGGGGCAGCTGGGAAGGGAAAAGATTGCTGGGGGGGTGAGGCATGGCAACACCTGACCTCCAATCAAGTGACAAGAAAGCAATTCCACTGATAAACAGCACAGAAGAGCTGACTGACAGACCTTGGGAGGGGCCAGGGTTGGCTGATGCAGCCCCCAGGGGTATAAAAGACTGAGCATCCATCTTAGAGATGAGCCAGTCATGTAGTAGGCAGTCAGGAAGGTAGTTCCTACTGCTGCAGTTTTGGGGTTTTTTTTCTTTATTTAGTCCTTTTGTTGTATTTTTGTTGAGGTTTTAATAAACCTTTTAAATTTTTAAAGTGAACAGTTGTCTCCCAGGCAGAAATAGGTACTCAACTCTAATGCCCTCACCATGAGTTTGATTTGTGGGTAAAGCTGAGAATGATTATCTGCAGTAGGTGAGAACACAGCAAGGTAAGATCAGTTTTGTCATGACACACACATTCAAGTAATGCTTACCAAAGGTTATTGAACTTGTTTTTTATTCTTTATTTTACATCCCTGAAGGCTTGGGGTGGGTAGAGGGACGATTATCTCCCGACCATTTGTGAGCCTCTGTATCTCTGTAAGAAATACCACTTCACACTTTTTACCTTGGAGGCTTGAGCTCTTCTCTTCAGTGAAGTGCCCACAGCAGCTGTGCCTTGTTGCCTTTCTTATAAATGAAATGCTTGCCTTGACACCCAGTTTAGCCTGTACTGCTGTATCTCCAATTTCCTGTCCCCATGTTTGAAGGAATAAAACTCTGTGTACTGTCCAGTGCTCTCTGTCCATTCAGACAGGAGTTCGTGGTTGCTATTAAAAGTGGTGGTATAAGCTCAGTGGCTTCATCCAGCCTGGGGTTACCTATCACAGCAGTGCTTCCCTCCTTATTAAATAAGATTATAGTATTGCTCCAAGACTGATAGAAAATAACAATCAAAGCTCAGACAGGCAATTCAGAAATATTTAGGTACTTTTGGTTTTTTTCAGATGGGACAGTTAAATCAATACCCAGGTGTTACACAGCCCTCAGCTGTTGGCAGTCTATTAAGAATGATAAATGCAGTTCAGCTCAGCTTCTGATAAATAAGTTTCAAAACAACAAAAAGTTATTGAAATGAAGGTCTGTTTTGAATATTGTCTTGAATGGGCAATGTTCAGTGGGGTGGAAAAACCCAACAATCACTTAGTCAAGCACTGAGGAATCCTTTCTTATTCAGGAATTCATGTTTTGTTCTGCAAATACTTTGAGAACTTGCAAGGAACAACACTCCCAGTAGCAGCTGCTGGGAGAAAGGCCATCACTGAGTCTAGAACATGCTACCTCAGCCTCTGTGCTCCCAGCCAACACCTAGTAGCTGTTCAAACCATTCAGCATCAGCAGGCTTAGTCACTAAGGGACTTCTATGCTGGCAGTAGGGCACTGAATATAGTAAGTTGCACAATTTGGTTATAATTATACTTCTGGAAATAGAATGTAGTAATGAATATTAAAAACTTGCTGCAGATATGGGAAATCTGAAAATATCCCCCTAAGACTTTTTTTGTTCACAATTATAATGAAGGTCGACCTGTTTCATCAGCATATACTTAAGCATTTGATTTCCTTTTACTGTTTTTCAGAGGAATTAATGTATTTTAATGGAATCACCTAGACTAAATTGTTTAACTGTGGGGCACTTAATTATAGAAAATCCTATTTACGGAGTTGATAAAGCTGAAACAGGAAACTTATGTATGTGAAGTTTAATAAAGCATTTTAATTAAAGATAAGGCAAAATAATTCAGTTATCCTTAGTAGTTTATGATTCAAGAACATTTTACGTTCTACCTCTTTTAGGTAGATCTGTTCATTGCAGAAGATAACTAATATTCAACTGCATATAATTTTAGAGATGCAAAGTCAAGGCTTTAAAATGGCATGAGGGAATGAGGTATATCTCTCTAAGAAGCAACCATGTTCAATTTGAAATGTCAGGGGAAAAAGTCACCCCTCTTTCTCTTTAGAAAAGCTTGAGCTTCATTCTTAGATTCTTTTTCTGGCACTCAGCATTAGAACAAGAAAAGATCATGCACAGTTTAAATTAACTTCTACATAATTCTTGTGATAAAACTGCTTAACAGCATTTGTGGTAAGTGTAAAGCTCTTATTTCTTCCTCCTTGTCAAGGTCAAGATATGTCCAGCTAGTAAAAAAAAACCCATTGCAATATGCAGGCACTTCTTGAAGGTTTTTTAACATATACAGTATCTAGATTTGAAATACTTTCTATCAAAAGCAGAAAATTATCAACCACTAAGGCAATAGTACAGGAGCAAGTAATGGGAAAAAAACGCTACTATTTCCATGCTGACCCCGGTTTTAAGTTTCTTCAGACTGTCACTGCAGAATGAAAATAGTGTAAAGAAACTGGTTTTGCCCCATGTATCTGGAATACCTTTGTTTGAATTGTGTCTTCTCTGTGCAAAACCTCTTTGCTAGATCTCTTCATCTGCTGATTACATTTAGCACCTCTTTCTAAACACACAATGTGATTAAGTGAATGCAGTTACAGTAAAATTTAACATACTGCTAATACATTTACATATTAATAGATAGAAAAATATTGCTAATTTTGTTTGGAATAACTAATGTAACTCTTGCACAATGCCTCTGACAGTTTGGTTAAAAAAGCACCTCATACCTGCTCCTGTGGCCACTTCTGTCTGTCCTCTGGGGATCTTGACTTTGCTTTAAAACCTCGATGCACATCTGCACTGTGCTTAGAGGCAGATGGGATATTCAGTGATTTTGGCCTCCCCTCGTGCCTGCTAGCACTGTGAACAGCTTCCCCCTTTGAACAAGTCTCTTTGTAGTCATGTGCCATGTTTTCAGTCCCACTGTGCTCTGGACTCATTTCTGTTGTACTGTTAATACTGCTCATGCTCATACTCATTTTGATTTCTGCTACAATCTGGTCAATGTCCTCTTCCTGCTCTTCCAGCTCAGCATCCTCTTTTCTAGAATGGTATGGTGATATTCCCTGGGAATTTCCATTAGCCTCTGCTGGGTAATAGTCCTGATAGTCACCTTCACTTTGACAGTACTGAATGTTTTCTTCTTGGTCTTGGATCTCCAAAGATGATGCTTCATCCTCCAAAATCTGAATGCCATTATCTTGACCTTCCTGCCACTCTTGCCTGTCCATCACCTCGTTTTCATCTTGGTGCTGAATTTTGCCTTCAGCCCATTCTTCTACAGCTTCCTGACATTCATCTGTTTCAACATGGTGTTCCTCATGGGGAGCATACTCCTCCCCATTGCAGTCCATTCCTTCCAAGTAACTGTCATCCTCTGGACAGTATCTGATGTAGTATGTGATCCCCTCCTCCTCTTCTGGCAAGCCTTCATCGTAGTCCTCCTCCTCTGAAGTGTTGTTTACATAGTCAGAGCTGGAGTCGCCATCTCCACTATGGTCATTGCACTCATGTTCCACAGGGGTAGGACTACCTGCTCTGACAGTTGCTAGTTCTGCCTCCTTTGCTGCATAATCTTCTATGGGAAGGTCACTTTCCTCATTTTCAGGCTCCCTGTTGTGAGATGAAGTCGGGCAAGCTCTGGCTCTGTGATCCAGCATGCTGGCTGTAGTGCTTTGATGTTTCCTGTTTGCCATAGCCAGCTCCTTACATGACAATCATTTCCAGCAATTACTGCAGGGAAGATAGAAAAACATTCAGGAAAAGGCCATCAGCAGAGAACAGTGATGTTAATAGGAAGCAATCTGATAGATTCATTTGGTAAAAAGCCTGTGTTTGTAGATATTTGACCAAATTCAGACAGCTAACTTTAAAAATGCTTATGCTATGGAACCATGAAATCAGAGTAATAAGTTGCATTCTGAAAGGAACAGATAAAGAGAAGGTTCTACATTTGTGCTAAATGTATTCTAGTGTAGGCTCTCTTCTGTCAATTTGACAGAGAATTAATCCTGAACCTTGAAATTAGTTTTCAATTTCTCTTTCTTGCCAGTAAGGGGTTATGCTTTGATCACTATGCAGTAAACGGGACCTCTTTTCAATTTTCAGCTTAGGCATTTCTTTAACGTGTACTGAAAGCAAACATTTAGACTCTGACCTGCTCTTACCAAAACTAAAGGGAAATAATTCTGCTAACTTGGCAGTCACATAGTGCACTAAAAGATAATGTATTGGTATTAAAAGTGTTACTTATAAAAAAGCACTTGCTGGTTTATTAGCCCTTTCTAGCTGGAAGCCATGAAATATTTCCCATTGTTAAATCAAATATTGCTTTTAGAATTAATCATTTCAGTTGGAAAGGGCCTACCACAATCACCTACTGCTGACCAAGTTAAAGCATGCTTTAAGGCCCTCATCCAAATGCCTCTTAAAACACTGACAGGCTTGGGCATTGACTGCCACTGGAGGACTGTTCCAGCACCTGACAATGCTCTTGGTAAAGAAATGCTTCCTAATGTCCAGTTTGAATCCAGACTGTCATGATACAGCTTTGAACCATTCCCAACCATCTTATCACTGGATACCTTCTGTGGAGAGAAGTTCAGCACTTCCCTGCCCACTCCTCCTCTGGAGGATGCTGTAGAGGGCAATGAAGTCACCTCAGCCCCTTTCCACAAACCAGAGAGGCCCTAAGTCCTTTGCCATGCCTCAAAGGACATTTCCTTGCAGCCCTTTCACCAGCTCTGCTGCCTTTCTGTGCACACACAGGAGGATCTTCTCATCTTTCTTAAGAGATGGAGTCCAGAAGTGCCCACAGCACCAGGTGAGGCTGCGCCAGTGCTCAGGACAGTCCTGTGCAGCAGGACAATCCTCTCTACTGCCCAGCTGGTCACTGTTTGGCAGAGCCCAGGACATGCTTTGCTCTCTGTGCTGCCAGAGCACTTTGCTGAGTCCTGAACTGCTGCCAGCCAGCACCCCAGAGCAGAACCTGGCATTTAGCCTTAAATTAATCCTGGCCCAGTGCTCCAATCTATCCAGATCCCTCTGTTTTTTCAGTGTCTAATCTATGTTCCAGGTAAAACACACATATACAGTAAAAGCTCACTAATTCTTCCTGCTTAACACTTGTGCTACTTTAAACTATGCTTTTTTTGGTCTAAATACTGGATTCTAAATAAGTAGGGGTTATATCAACTATATAAAAATACTTAAAATAGCTAATTCTAGACAGGCTTGACAAATGTGGTCTGCTGCATGATTTGGAAGGGGGAAATAATCTACTTTTAGTATTTGTGTTTCTCTGTGTTTTATTGCTGTATCCTTGTGATAAACTTGACCTGCGCAGTTACTTCATTGGCATGAAGTGAGATCAGACTCCTCACCTGGACCACACAACTGCAAGAACATTTTGATTTAATCAGTGTCCAAAGGCTTGGGCAATAAAACCAACATGGAGCTAGAGGATTAGAGAAGCAATGTAGGGAGTAATTTCTTAGGCATTGTGAACTTGGAAAATAAATCCTGTCACTGTAAACTTATCAATATCCCTGTAGAAATTCTGATACCACAAGAAACTCAAAATCCTGAGTTTGTGAGAAATCCAGGGATCTGATGTATCTGTAGATTATGGCAAAGATATCATGTGGCAAATCTATCCCTGAAACATGGGCTCTAGATTCTGAGGTAGAAAGGAGAGATGATGTTAGTCACAGGAGGAGGTATGAAAGGAACCCATCATATGGAGCCCTTTTTAGTTATTGTTATCTTGCAGAATTAGTCCTGACAGAATAAAGCTTTAAATTAAATAGTGTATCTGAAGAGAAGTTTTAAAGGAGAAGATCAGTGAAGGAAAACCTCTCTGTGATTACTTGCCCCTCCTCACTATTGGAAGAACTTCCAGACTAGCAAGATTTTCTCAATGCAATCTGAATGTCCACTATCCCTTTAATAATAATGATACTTTTTTACTTTGGAGTCAGTTATAAAAGTCAGAACACCAAGCCATCCATCCACTAGGGTTAGTCTGAGTCTAATTTAGTCAAAGTTTGATTTAGTCAGCTCTTACTGCAATCTAAGGATGTTTCTATACTGCAGTATAAACAAAATTTATTGGATTAAAATAGTAACCTAAGTAGTAATAGTAATCTAAGCCACAACACAGCAATGCTCTGTACAGGCTGCAAAAAACTGCCCACGGGCAAGAAAAATTGCTTGTATGACCATTTCAGGCATGAGAGCACTACACAAGCATGTCCAAAATGAGTTAGGATGGAGGGCTATAATAATTTTGAATGGCACTGCAAGAAAACTACAGATCTCATCTGGTACAACCAATTTTGTTTTTCAACAACAGAGCAAATTAAGTGCCTCTTATTGAAAGAAAGTTCTCATCTGCAATGGCCTCAATCTTCTAGTGGAAATATTATTCATATTAAATAATACTTAAATATTTACAGCGCAGTTGACCCTGCACATAAGTCACAACAGTGTGGCTGAAAATTCAGAAACACAGATCCTGTAACAAGCACAGTTTGAAACCCATGACTCAGATTTTCCTAAGGCATATGGAGATGAGAACCCTTTTCTTTAGCCAGTATAATGGAGTTTTTCCACCCACATCTAAGGCTCTTTATTTGATATCCAGCCCTAAAATTGCCATAAGTGGTATCTCTGCAGTGATAGCCCTTTATAAATTCCAGTGGTGAATTCTCAAAGATGTTGCTTTCCTGCAGGAAAATCCAGGGCACTGTAGATATTGTAGAACACACTGCAGGAAGCCACCTGGATGTGATCTGAGAGCCAAAAGGCAGGGCAGGAGCCTGGGGAGGGAGGGAGGGGTGGCTGGTGAGTGGAGCTCCCTCAGCTGTGGGAACTGCCAGCCTGAGGGGTGTCAGGTGGGCACTGCAGTCCTGCCCCACAGGGACCTGCTAATGTGCAGCATCTGCACTGTGTGGGAAAAACTTTAAAAAATTGTGGCAATTTTTTTAGAGCATAGGGGGTAAGAAATAGAGAAAATAATTCCTCTCAAGCATGCCTAGCACTGGTAAGAAATAGAGAAAATAATTTCTCTCAAGCATGACTAGCACTGATATACTGGGACATGGGAAATGGGTTTTCAGTTAATTCAGCCTGAATGATGATTGAGGACAGTACTTTACCCCTGCATGCTGGAACTGAGGCAAAATGAGCTGGATTTTTGGTGAGAGGCAATGCTGATCTTAATGCTATGGAAACTGAAGTTACAAAGCAATTTCTGCACAATAATTACAATTCTAGTTGGCCTACTTTGCAATCTTCTCAGGCACTACTCTTAAGGTAACAAAGTACTGAAATAAAAAGGCAGAATTTATTATTTTCAGCCTATGAATTGCAGACTGAATGTGCACTGATTACAGCATCTTGAAGTACAAAATGTAACTTCTCCAACTGTACCAACACATCAGAATTACTGAGCTGAGTTTTCAAACACCAGTCTGAGAACTGCTCTTTATGGAGCTGCACATACATTGCTGTCAAGGAAACACACAGCTGTATTTAACTCAAATATTAGAACAGCCAGGGCAGCCTAGCTTTCTTCCCCTGTATCAAAATATCTCTCAAGCTTCCTAGCAAAATGCTTTAGTCACAGATTAGGTCTAGCATAATCTGAATATTTTAAGCTGTTTCATGTCAAGCAGAACGTTCCTTATGGCCACAGGTCTGAACTCTTCTGTCTTCTCGCCTACAGAGACATTAATCCTCAAGATTTTAAATATAAAAAAACCAGAATTTTGACTTTTTTTTTCTTTTAGAAATGCAAAAGATACAAAATTTTTACTATGTATTCTGCTACTCAGACTACTGCACGCAGCCTTCTGAGTCCCTGATTGCATGGGTTAGTACTTTAGCTGATATTCACATCAGTCACTGTAACCTTCTAACATCATAGGTATCTTAAAAAATTAGAAATTGGAGAAAATACTGGAGTTCTATCTTATATTTCTCAGTGTTGAAGAGAGGAGTAATGATTTGCTGGATCCAGAGGCACTTTATCCATAAAGGCTCCAGTTGAGCCTACAGATCATCTTTGCTTGGTGTAAGACTCCCTCCTACTCCTTGTATCTCACCTCCCTCCTTGGTAGCAGGGAGTTAGGTCAAACTTCTGCATCACTCCAAGCACATTTTTCCATTTCTGGCTGCACTTGGCATGAAGTGTTCCTGGGAACATGGATCAGTGCTGGATCCCTGTTTACCTTCCTTGGGATTCAGTAATTTTATCTTGCTGAGACAAACCCTGACTTCAGTTGTACAGTGCATCGCTAAACTTCCATCAGTGTTGGCAGGATCAGTGAATAAGGGATCAGTTACACAGGATTCTCAGTAAAAATGCTTTTCTTTCAATAATGGTTTTACTTTATTTTTCTTAATTTTCCCCTGGCTCAGCTGAATGTTGAAAGGAAAATCAATCTCCAGGAAACACATGCTGCATTTCCATGTGAGAGTAAAAAGGAGTATACATAGGGGAACCAATTTCTTCTGCTCTCAGAAACAGAACTACTGGGTTACAGCTGGAATTTATTCTAATCAGTGCTCATTATACTCATTAGCTTTCTCCCGAGTTTGCTGCACCTAATCCCAGACAGCTGTAGTGAGGGTTTTGTCAACCTTAACACTTCTACATCTTTTCACCTGTGTAGAAAGATCTTTTACTGTCTTCCCAGTAAAAGAGACCAATTAAATTAGCTTTAAAAATG